CAGGAGAGAAACGTGAACACTGACCTTGTCATCTATTCAGATGGATCACAGTTAGACGACCAAGGCACAACCCGCCCTGGATGGGGTTATACTATCAGGAAAGGCGGCACTACACAAGAAGTATACCAGGGAAAGGGCAGACTTCTCCAAGCAGAAGTAGTAGATGTTGAAATCCATGGTGCTCTTCAAGGTCTTGCAGCAGCCAGGGTAATTGGACACGGAAAACAGCTATATGTCTGCCTGGACAACACGTCAGTGGTAGATGGGCTCAATGGGACTCCACCTGAGACATCACAGAACATTTTTTTATGATTTCAAGAACTTGCCACAGCACACACTCCTGGAGTGACCGTCAAGTGGATTCCTGGACACAGAGATATTAATGGCAACAAAGCTGCCGACACACTAGCAAAAAAGGGTACCATGCTAGAAATAGACATAATAAACCTTCCTATAATCTCTTGGGTCAAGAGAGATCTCAAAAGAAAGGGCAAGAAAGAGTTCAACCAATGGTGAAAAGACTGATCAGAACCTAGATATCAAGAAGTATACTCACATACAATAATTAAAAGAGACCTTATATCTTTTAAAAGGAATACTTTATACAGACTTCTAGCGGCCAGATCTGGACATGGCGACTTTGCCAGATACTATGAACGCTTTAGGCATACAGACTCGAATGATCACTGCAGCTGTGGTAAAAAAAAAACACCACAACACATTTTCTTTTGTAAGAGGGTGGGGAAAAACTGGCTGCTGCCTAGGTACTCGCCTAGGACAGCTTGTTTATAATACTTAGGGGAGAGGAACACAGAATGGGCAAAATTCGTGGAAAAGAGCAAGTTCTTTTCATCAATCTGTCCTCGATAGATAGCTGTTCTTGAAGGACCAGATGGATGACCCCAAGGTCATACCGCCGCAACAACGGGGATGGGCCCGTGAGCGGGACTGACTGTACTTATTTTCTTGAGACCTCCACAACCCTGCGATGCAGAGGCTTTCTTGGCTTGTAGTCTGTTTAGAAAGGGCCCTGTATGTCTAAACAGCTGCTTTGCAGTCATCATTCCACCAAGCAGTGGGCCTGGATTGACGGGGCTTTTTGCTCACTGTCTTGATACAGCCTTGGATCATGTTGATCAAGCTTTGTGTAAAGGCATCTACCTGGCCAGGGGATACACCCAGCCGGGGGAGTTCATGAATCCTGGTTTGGACATTATCTGCCAGCTCTTGTAGTTTATCGTCCGGTACTATCCAATGATTGGCCTTGGGGACTCGGTCTAGATCTCCCTGAATTGGAATGACTATTCGTAATGTCTTATGATCTAAGGTGCACTGAAGTGTATCATTGACTGAGGCTTTAGCCATAAGGACATCTAAGAACACCAGATCTAGTACATTTCCGTCATCATGTGTTGGGACATCTGGTTCAGAAATCAGATCCAGTCTGTGGTCTGCCATAGTCTGTGCAAGTATGACACCACCATGATATCCTGGATTGCTCGAGTCCTAGGATGTGTCGCCAGCATTGAAATCTCCAGTTATAACGCAGACAAAAGGTAGAGTCCATATTTCTAGAATGTTATCCACTTTCTGTGGGTTGTCACATGGCCAGTAGACACTGGCAAATGTGATACCTTGTACCTTGACCCAGGTGATGTCTTGTGTAGCATAGGGCCGAAGTTGATCCGCTTGAAGGTGTTTTCTCACATAGATGAGAGATCTGGGTCGTGTACTGTCGCTGTCCCAGGAATCTACTGGGGACTTCAATATCTTGAGGATCAATAATTTCAGGTAGCGCTCTTGCTGTGCCGGCACATCTTTTGGGTAGACACATTTCCAGAACTGTGAAGTTTCGAACGGTGGTGGTTTGTCCCAAGAAAACGGGTAAATACACCAGACGACAAGGAAAGCCTAGCGTGTTAGTGCGCGGCACGGCTCAAGGAAGGAGGGGGGTTTTACATTCTTTTCGTCCAGTCTCTTTAAAGCGTTTAGTTCTATAGTTACCCATTCTTTTTGTGTGTTTTCATCGAGGCTCCAGACAATGGCCACCTTCCTTGTCCGGTCTCGGAAGAGATCTGCTCGGTAAGCCCTCGATTTGCTGGCCTTGATCGCCTAGTCATGCTGCTGGCGTTCTGCTAGATCCAGAGCGGACGCGAGGATGCCGGCAATCCCAATCCCCTGGGCGGCCATAATGACTGTCTCGTAATGCCGAAGGCCAAGGTCTTGACCGTACGGACCGTTGAGGAGGAATTTCTGACCCTTCTTCAGACGCAAGAAGGGGGAGCTTTAATCCTCATGGGATATCAGGAAAGTCAGCTGGCTAGCATTCGTGCGCGTTTGGTCAAGATGGCGCCACATCACCATGAGCGGGCGACTGTTAAAAAGGTCATAGCCGAGTAGAGCACCGGGAAGGAATAGATAGAAGTAACTACCCGGATAGGTGTTGACCTGTCATTTAGTGCTGAGACAGATGCGGTTTGTTCTTTCGGACACCTCACACCATTCTACCTTGGCCACTGGTAGAAAGCAGAACGTCCTTAAAGCCGGTACAATGTTGTCAAGCTCCATAGAGCACTAGCAATGAGTACGCAGATCTTAGGGACTATGTTTTGTCGGCTGTGAGAGCACGTGCCAGAAGATACCAGCCAGCGAGATCAAAGACAGAACACCGTGCTGGACGCTGAATCAGGTTCGGAAAAAGCGGCGCATAAAAAAGGGTAAGGTGATCAGGAGCATCAAAAGTCCTCTAGCAGCCTTCGTACAAAAATGTTAACCTCGTAGGGATGGCAAGGGGCACGACCTACAATGTATCCGGAGATGGTAACATGGTCCGATCGGGATCTCCTCAAGCTGAATGCTGCATGTATCAGGCCTTCCAAAATGGCGATCCTCCCGACCCAGTGATGACACAGGTAGTACGTTGATAGAGGAACTCGGAGGAAGTCGGCGAGGGGGTTGGTACAGCCTCCGAGAAATAGCGGGGCCATGTTAATAATTGCAAAAACCGCGGTCCTTTATTGCAGGTCCTCGATGCCGCAGTTCCACAGGGCGAGTAACAGGACATTGGAAGTCAAATAGGCTATAAAATAAGAAACTCCAGTCGTGTGATACTCATCCTATGGTTGCTCCGCCGCACAAGTATAGGATACCGCACATGGCCGGCAAAGCTAACAATGAGACGCGGCAGGACCAGGTGCACAAAGAAGCGAATGATTATGTACAAAGGATACAGTCCGATAAGCCCACTAAACAGAATATAATAGATTTCACCTGTGCCCATTATAGTTGAGTATGTATCTACCCGCGCCGAGATGAGCATGGCGTTTTGCAGAGATTTGTTTGTTAATATCCAAAAATTTTGTGTCAATATCGCCCTGCCGGATATGAGGTGTCAGGACTTAAACCCATTTCTTGAAAAGCCCTACTTGCGGCTCGTTGCCACTGCCGCTAGATCCTGGAAACGGGGGCGCGTATAGCCAGGACCTTGTACCAGTCATGCCTCGATTTAGGATATATTAGGTGCTATAATGTCTCGATGAACCAAAATTTCGTATTTTTAGGCACCTTACCAGTCACACAGACAATGTGCCTTGCCCTTAACGGTCTCCCTGGGTTGACTGGTATGAAAATAACGTGCATTACTAGTCACGGCCTCTTTCTGGTACCAAAATCGGGTGGCTTACTAATCACGGCCTGATACTAGTATAGAAATAGTGTGCCCTATTAGTCACAGCCTCCTTCTGGTATGAAAATAGTCTGCCTTCTTAGTTAGACGGATCTTGCATGGACTAGTAGAGCCCCTGACCAGTACCCAAATGTCCCATCCTACCAGTGTTGCATCCTTACCAGTATTACGATGACACAGTTTATTAGTCGCCGTCTGCTCATCGTAGGTAGCAATGTACCGCATGCGTTTGACAGCAACTGGATCCCCACACTGTACGGTGAGCATTACGAACGCCGACTCCCTTGCACAAATATTTCCTCTGTGCCCTTGAGCTAAAAATACGACTGACGCGCCCCGTTCCACATGACAGAATTATTCAGAGTATGGGACCATACCTTCCAACCACGAGGGGTCAACCACATCCCAGACCCAGGCAATGGTAGCTATATGCGGATTGCACAACACCAGACACGGTACCCCATGCCGGGGTTTTAAGAAATAGCCATCCCGCTCGCAATTTGTGCCTCACCAGCCGCACAATTTCACCAATATTCATAGACGCTTACTCCAGATCAATCACGCAGCCTGCCCACTTCGACAAAGAACTAGCTTCAGAATGGCGCGGACATATACTCAGAAGGAAAAGAGGGCATTTGAGATGCGACGAGAAAGCTTGGTCAGGAAAGTGTACGAGATAAACAATATTACGAGTGCCCATGTGGTGCTCGTGGGCATCAGCGGGGGGAGGACCTTTGCGTTTGAGCCAGAAGAAGGCATGTTGCGCCGTCTCGGATTCACCTCGCCCATTGACGACCACATTGCACCGGATGACATTCCTAAATCTAGCAGGATTGGTCGCCCTATGCCTTCCTGCGAGTCTATATTGAGCGACTCTACCTACACGCTTGATTCTGGCGCGGAATCGCCCATACAGGCACGAGGTGCAAAGACTAGTGGTGCCCCAAGGTCAAAGAAGAATTTTTGCACGTCCTGACGAGGACGATCTTGGAAGACTTCACCTCGTCTTCAAGAGGGAACCTTAAAGTTGCTAGACATCGAGTTTTTTGTACCCTGATTACAAATTTATTACGGGCTGGGGGCGCTGGACGGGCAATGAATAGCCGGTAACTGCGGAGACAAACCAAATCCTGGACTTGGGACTCGTTGTATCCCAAATACTTGCTCTGTATTAAAGCTCTGCTATGATATAAATAAGAAGCTCAATACCTCACATTGGCCTTATAGGCTTGCCTATCGCCAAGTATCTTCCTTGCCCGTTCTTTCCACATAAAAGGTAAAAGACCAGACTGAGTTTTAGAGTTATCAATACATAATGGCGCCGTTTGGCCTTTACACGTTGCTTCTTATATTAGCAATTTCTATTCCGCTCATCCTGACATATTCGTGGGTCAAGCAGCTTGTAAGGATTGCTTCTAACGGCACCATGATCGCACTGGCAGGCTTTATCCGAGGTTATGTTGGTCACACAGAGCCAGGGTTCAATGATGCTGAGAACACGTACCTGCTCCCCTCCAACGGTCGTCCTGATGGCAAGGTGATCCACTCCGACGACCGCATCTGCAAAGCAACACAGCAGGTCAGCAATTACAGTGAAAACTACCCAATGCTGCACGTTGCGCCCGGTGACCTTGTTGCCTTGCGGTACCAGGAAAATAGCCATGTAACCCTTACCAAAAGCAACACAAACGTCAAGCCAGACAAGAGTGGCATCATGTATGGACATCAACCTAGACGAGTTCAGCCTGTCGGCGGACCAGAACGTGAACTTTATCCACAAACAAGACGCGAATAGCAGGGCTATCTGTGAACAGCTTGACAATAACTTTATCTAAAATTGAGTAAGAGCCCAAGTTATGTACTGTGTCTGCGGATGAGAGATTCTGGGGAGAGAGACGGGCTCTGCGGATTGCTGGCCAACCGGGGGGACTTTAGGAGGCTTGGTCCATAGACTAGATTCGATTGGTATGGTTTATTTGGCCGCATGCGGCAGGTCCGGTCCATAGCACATGAATCTACATTCCTGTTCTCATCCCTTGTAACGTAATGCGGGCAGTTGGCCATGAAAATACTTGTTTGCCATGCCAAAGACCAGGATTCTAGATGATCACGTACTATAAAGCCGCCAGGTTATTTTGTCTGTTCTTTGTTTTAGCACTGGTATTAAAGCCACCAGAAACTTTTTCTTTTAGATCATAATATACGTGTCTGCTTGCTTTATGTTCTACCAGAGGCAGCAAGTCAGGCCTTAATGTCCTCCATTACATTTACCCACCACTGTCGAAGGGTGCGGCGCGCGACTCCGTTGGACACCGGCAGGGATTCTCACCGTCACCTCTCACCCAGTACCATGTCGACAGATTTATTTCATCCCGAGCCTCACAGTTCCAGTCCCAAAACCGACGACCTTTTTCCCAAGAAACATTGCTTCCAGACTAGAAGCGAACGGGTAACGATTCTGTGTCGGATTTGTTGTGAAGTCTGGCGCCTGGAAGTGAAGCAAAAGACCAGAGCAGGGGATGACGGATACGACGAACCTGAACGGCATGAGCGCAGCCGGGCGGCGATAAATCCAGAAGCTAGAACAAAACGTGACCAGATGGAACAGAGGGCCCCCGAGACCTCACAGGAGCACATAAATAAAGAATCTACCCAGTACCAAGAAATTGTGAAAGAGCTCTGGCAAAATTTAAGGATCGCTGGGCACAACAAAGAAATCACTTTTCGTGATACATCACCAAACCCATCTTTGAAACGTGTTCGGTTCGACCTGAGCAGGTAATGCACCAATGCATACCCAGCACACGGGACTAAGGTTTGTAAACGCTCTGTTGCGGGCGCAAGAGGGAATGAAGGAAGGCCCTCGGCGACACGGAAAAAATGAACTCCGAGGCCAGGGGACTCAACCACACAGGACGGTCATGACAGGGTTTGTGGACGGAAAGACCAGACCAGCGCGGGAAAACGCGACCATGGCATCCGATCCCCCGCGCCAGGGAACCGAGCGACAGGGGCTGGGAATGGAAAGCTTGCTCGTGTAATGAATTTGTCTCCGGGCAGGCCGTATTTTAATGTTTGAGCGTATTTATTGTGGGGAACGAACAATATGTCCAATAAATGCAACTTGAATGCGTGGGGGTTCGGCATGCAAGTAGACGTATTGTATGACTTCATCGAACGTGGTGTAGACCATTACCAGCAGATCGCTCTCTTGCTTGACGAGAAACCCGTGCGGACTGATCGCAGTCTTAAATCGGGCACGGTCAGTAGCAGTGAGCCTTTGGTATCCACATCATCACAGTCACTCCTCCAACACCCACACTCACGCACCCATACAACATTCAACAATTCGACTGTCATGGCCGTATGGCGCAATGGTCAAATGCGCCTGGTTGTGTTCTCGTTTATGCGGTGGGCGACGAGAACAAGTGGGTTTGAATCCTGCTATGGCCCCCTTCTGACCCGGCTTGTGCGAGTCGATAACCAGCACACGACAGTAGAGAGGCCCCATTATCGCAGAGCCCGATAGCCAAGCAGCTTGTTTCTATAATACCCACTCCTGCGAGGTTTTTCCCCTTATGGCTTCCCTCGTTAGCAGATAACAAACACCTATTTCACCCACCAATGCGGCATATATCGAACGGCTACTGGAACGATATGTACACCAGAGGACTGAGATTCATTGGGTCACTTTGTTACTGGACAGGAGGGTTTTCTGACGGAATTGTGCTTGGGTATTGACTAAAACCATCTGGACACTCCAGATTGGTACCGCTACAGCGAGGATGGGCTCGTGTACAGATCTGAATGTATCTAGACTGACACCTCTATAACCTTGCGATGCAATGGCTCTGGGAGGCGTGGTTTGCCCTGTTGAGGGACTGTACCCACGATAAATACAATCAATCAATCAAATCAATCATTCGACTGTCAATGCACTGGCCCCCTGCTCACTGAGACTAACATTTGCGCAAGGCAGTCGGACGTGCTGTAATCTTCACTCGGTGCACCTGGCTTGGTAAACCCTGGTAATACCGGTACGACAAGCACGGTATGTCTAAGTAATAAGTTGATTACTACTGCGAGTCAACCATTAAGGTTGACAACCGCGTGATATTGCCTAAGTGCTGTAATAGCCATATCCCAGGACCAGCCTCGAAGAACGCCCATTTCTTTTCTGCTTCACTGCAGTGCATCCCAGCGCATTGAGGTCAGTTCTCATTATCGTCCTCTTTGATGGTTGCTGGTATGTTCTTCTGGTTTTGTCGTTTCGGACGTCGATACTTCGAGCTCGGAATGTTGCTTGCCGAATCCTCCGGCGCTATGTCGAAATCATCCTCATCCCAGTCGCTTTCGCTCATGACTTTGTAGTCGTCTCCAGTAGCCCAAGATGGCCTTTCATTACCTGCCGAGGTGTCAGATAGTTGAGGCAGCATATCGATTTTCCCAAGACGGCGACGCTGCTTGCTCATCAATAGACCCTTGTTACGCTGCCGAAGGGCATGCCGCACCATCTCGGCACGTTCGTGTAGTTTCTCGAACGCATCTTCGAGCGCCTCCATGCCCTGGTATATCCCTTGCTCTATTCCCGCCAGAGCGACCATCTCAATCTCTTCATCATGAGACACCGGTGGCTGGTTGTGACCCGGAGATGTTGACGATGAAGAATACAGCGAAATAAAGGAAGCGGGTGTCGCGCCACAGGAGTTGATTTGAGAATACGGCTTGCTAGAGCGAGAAGCACCAAAGCCGGGAGCTCGTGGCATGCCCGGATCCATCGGTTCCCTAGATGGCGGTGGAGGAAAGAACCCATGGCCAGGCAAACTGCCTCGAGACAATGGATTGTCGGCGGTAATCGTCATCGCATCGTCCCTATCAGCCCCAGGACACAGGAAACCATCACACCAGCCTGAAATAAGGAACTCCCACTCTTGTGGTCTGATGTCCATCATCGTTGTTAGGATGTCGTGGTACAATGGGTGCTTGACGCGATATACGGCAGTCTCAGCATCTCGCGGTGTCTGAGACAAGCGATATAGTCGCTGTAGCTGAAGCCCAGTCATCATAATGAAGTCCGTCCGAGGCTTCCGCAACGGTGTCGGTGCCCTAAAAGCAGACTGTAGTTCCCGAGTACCGGACAATAGGGCGTTGAAGTAGGGCCGCTCCTCCTGATCTAGGTTTGTATGGATAGCGAACGTTAAGATCTCATCATCAACATGGGAAGGGGATGGTGCGGGTGATTCTGTGCAGTTGTTCGTCCACGTATCGACAGCCGACCTGACCTTCTTCCATTGCTGTAGGTAATGATCCCGGAACTCTTCTGCAATGTCAGGGACTAACTTGATTGGTGAACGTGGCCTTGGTGGTATGTCTGCCGTATTCTTGGTTGCAGTCGCTCCCAGAGATGCAAGATCGAATGGTGGCCATGATGGTAGCTCCACCTTACCACTTACGTGCTCCAGGATTTCCCCCCATCCCAATCCTCGGTGTTCCTCAGGGGCGATCTCGCACATGATACAAGAGCATCCTTCAGCTGGTAGATCTCTAGAGAAGACTTCCTCCAGTCGATCTAGTAACCGGCGGGTACCGGACTCGTGTCCCGTGGCCACTGCAACTGAACCTTGCTTGTGGATGACGGAATGGTACTGATCTAGGATGTTAAAAAGAGGTGCAAACAAGGTTTCACAGCCTGCTAGGGGTGGGTTTGATAGCCGCGTCCCACTTTGGCGTGGTATAGCAGATAGAAAGTGTTTGGATACCGTATGTGCCAATCCACCATTCTGAAGTAGATAGTCAACCCGAGGTACTTCCTGTATATTCTGTACATAAACTGGTGAGTCGTCAGTCTCGATCGGGCTGAGCAATTTCGGGTCTTTCGCCGATGCTTTTCTCTTAGGCGCAACCGAGGTCTTGGTACCACTGAGGATGGAGGATCTTCCATTATTGTCGACTATCTGCGCGCCAGGCGGTTGCTTCAACGTAGGTGACTTGATGAAAGTAGCTCGGCTCGGGGTCTTGATTTTGGTAGACAGCTGGGACTCTTCATCTCGCCGTGAGCTCGAACGGGAAAGGCCTGTTGCTGTAGATCTCGGTCTTTCTAATCCAGACCCATGTTCTTTCCTCAGTCTCGGTGTGGGCGTCTTGCTCCGTCTCTTTTTTTCATCTGATACATCGGTCCCAGGAGGGCTAGGTGGTCGATGATCATCTTTCTGCGCGCTCTGCTTCCTACTTCCTAACCCATCTGCTGGATTAGACCTTCCCCTGTTTTTGGAGCCGAGATCGGCGACCTCCGGGGTGAGGGGATATTTGTTGGCAAGAGTGGGTGTCCCTACGTCCTCTTGACTGTGTGAATGTACGGCTTGTTTACTATGTACCTTGCTGAAGCTAGTGTGCGGCAAGCTGACTCGACTACTGGGGATCGACGTTCTTGAGATCTCTGGTACTAGGTCGCTTATCGAGGGAGCCTTCTTCTCTCGGTTATGTTCTTTCTCTTTCTTCGTGCGATGCCTCTGATATGAGGTGCGCGATTCGCTTTCTACAGGAGTTCGTGGTTTGGAGGATCGCGACGAAGTCTCGTGGTGGCGGCGCTCTCGCTCTCGCAAGTGGTCCTCGGTGGCGGCTTCCATGTCACGGTCTCTGGCACAAGTTGCGGTGGACTATGGGAGCCCAACGGGCCCGGCCACTATAACAGGAATTCCGCAAGTCGTGGGAGTTGACGTCCGGATGTAGAAGAAAAGCGGAAGAGCAAACTGATGGAGAGGGGTTGATGGCAGGTATGTATGCCCCGAATGAAGTGGTGCGAGACTGTTGAGCCAATTCAGAAAGGGAAATCAGTTCCTTAATTGATGCGTGTCAGCATGTAGCAAAAGTCTCGCAGTGGTGACAAAGAAACATGGAGCGTTTAGAGATGGAGAGATGATAAAGCTTGCTGTTTGTTCTGTATTACCTTGATTTCCTTTGTTCTTGGCGAATATCGGCTCTGTGCATAATTCATATTTCATAAAAGCCACTTAGGTATTTAATGCGAAACAGTTTTGTATTCTCAGCTGCAGGCATTATAGATTTAAACAGTACTCACAATGTAGCAGAGTTGAGGCTGTACTTACGCCTTGTTTTACTAACAAGTAACTACTCCTCTACAAGGCAGTGAGGCTTAGTCGTTCAAGGCACGCCGGTTCGTACACATTTAATCCTGCATGTGGACTATAATATGTTGGCTTGCGACTTGGCACTGTTTGAAGGTCGCTTCTTGTTATTAGCATGTAAGCTTCTGTCTTGTACAAATTTAAGTTCGCTAATTTCGCTGTTTGCTCAAAAACTATGCCTAGGTTATAACCATTAACAAACCTCCCCTGCTCTAGACATCTACCTAAAGTCGATAACACATTTCCGCTAACATAACCGAGCATGAAAAAGAGCAACAGCAGCAGCAGGAGCAGCAAGTTTAGTGGCTTTGCCGCCGGTCGCCGTCCTTCATGGTAGTTAAGCCTGATCAATGCCCACCATGGGTTTGACTTGAGCTGGTAGGCGCCTCAAGGGCCAAGTTGCCGATGCGTCGAATCTGTTCATGGAGAGGAAATTCCACCCCAGAGCCACCCAGCCGCCGGTGTTTCCTCGCATCATCTCAGAAAAGATTAACGACGTAACATTATACTAGTATGCCACACGGGATCCTCTGGATGCGGAGGCCGAGAAGCACGGCATTGATCTGAGCAGCGAGATAGAGCTCCTGTATGGCTAAAATTATGACGATCTACCACCTTGGCCTGGGCGAAGATGTTGTGAGCGAGCAGTATCCCGAGTTGGGGCCCTGATTCGAGGATTGCGCCGACAGAAATGGCTGGAAAATCGATGCGCTTGTACGTGTGTACGAGCCCAAGAATGGCGACGGGACCCATTTCACGAAGAAGGGAAACCGCATCGCAGGTTGTCGGCTAGCTGGCGGAAGTGTCCGAGATCACATTGAGTGATGATGGCTACGGTTTTCTCTAAGATGGAGTGTTCAGCGACAGGAGCCATGAATCTGGATCAATAGGAACAAAGACTGGCTTAAAGCCCACGGCAACCATATGTTTGTTTGTTTTGTTTGTTTGTTTTGTATTTAACGTGGGGGGTAGCTCCTCAGTAGTGCAAACCACGCCTCCCAGAGCCATTGCATCGCAAGGTTGTAGAGGTGTCAAATTAGATACATTCAGATCCGCGCACGAGCCTATCCTCGCTGTAGCGGTACCAATCTGTAGTGTTCAGATGGTTTTAGTCAATACCCAAACACGATTCCGTCAGAAAAACCTCCTATCTAGTGACAAAGCGACCCAGTGAACCTCAGTTCTCTGGTGTACATATCGTTCCAGTAGCCGTTCGATATATGTCGCATTGGTGAGTGGAGTAGGTGTTTGTTATCTGCTGGCGAGGGAAACCACAAGGGGGAAAACCTCGCAGGAGTGGGTATTGTGGAGACAAGCTGCTTGGCTATCGGGCTCTGCGATAAATGGGGCCTCTCCACTGTTGTGTGCTGGTTATCGACTCGCACAAGCCGGGTCAGAAAGGGGGCCATAGCAGGATTCGAACCCACTTGTTCTCGTCGCCCACCGCACAAACGAGAACACAACCAGGCGCATTTGACCATTGCGCCATACGGCCCCACGGCAACCATAGCCTCAGCATTGGCCCCAACCGTAGTTTGAGGGATAATAACCTCGTTGCCGCTGGCCCCCTGGGCTGCTCAACCCAAACTGAATGCCTCAGTTTTGGAAAAGCCCCGCGCTAGGTATGGCACTGTTCTCTTCCCTAGCCAAATCCACACGACCAGACTGTTTTCCGCAAGGGAGGCTGTTCGCTAAGAGTGGAGCTAATGGACCAATCACATACTTGTTCAACCGGGAGAGGCTGTGGGGGCCACAGCAATGCTATGATGGACAAGTGAATTGCTGCGCTTGCGCTTGCGAGTCCAGTATATGTAGATTTATAGGCTAGGACACTGTTGCCAACGACCTCTATATTTCGCAACATTTTGCGTGCTAGGATTAACTTGAGTAAGAGTCGCGTGCTGCGAGAATTTAGTGGTGCGGTTCCTGGAGGAAGTATAAACGTCTGTGATCTGATTGCAACTATACATGAGTACTGTTTATCAGGCACATTCATCGCCAAAGGCCAAGACATATAGCGAGCGAGGGGGGCGAGATCTAATCGACTCGGAATAATGTGACAGGTTACCCCGGTTGGTGTGGGGTTGTGTGTGCACGGACCGTAATACACGCGTCGAGACTATGGTCCGTGCTCCTGCTTGTCGTCCCTGCTTCAAACGGTCACCTACCTTCTCGACCAACCTTCCCTTCCTACCACATCTACTAACAGTCCAACAATGCTACTCTATAGCCCTTTTGATGCTCTTGGCCTCCCCTTAACTATTTACGAAAAGCGGAAAACTGACAAGGCTTATAAAGATGCCTCGCTTGTCTGCCACCCTGACCACCGGCAGCGACACGGACTACTGGACACTCGCTGACCACTACAATAACATTTGGCCAATGTAAGGAAACTTCTTTTGGAGGATTGCCAATAGGCAATTATCGATTTTGATGGTTATCCCTGTACATTCTTTTCAAAAGAATGCCTTTTATTCAATGCCTCTGACAATCTGTTGGTTGGCTTGCGAGAATGCTCGGTTTGTCATATGGTTCTCCGCGAGTACCACGTTATTGACCACCTCAACGACGAGCACCGGCTGAAAGGTTATTTGGTATACAATCAACTGGTCGAGCTTGACAGCATTGACAACCACTACCTGGATCACGAATACAAAATATGCCAATATTACGGCGGACATTTTGACACAGACATATTCAAGTGGCCGTATGGCGCAATGGTCAAATGCGCCTGGTTGTGTTCTCGTTTGTGCGGTGGGCGACGAGAACAAGTGGGTTCGAATCCTGCTATGGCCCTTGTGACGGCCTGCACAGACCTTTCCATATGACAAGTGGATACTTCCTAATAAGGGAAGGATCTGACCAGAGGATCCCCTTAAAGGGGCAACCTCCCACTGTACCTATCTCTCTCTCTCTTCCTTTCCTCTCTAGTCTTGATATTCTCGTCAATAGAGTAATAGCTGCTTGCTGCCGGCCATGTCCCAGCTCCTCAGTACGCTCGCCGTGACAGCCCCCTTCTGACCCGGCTTGTGCGAGTCGATAACCAGCACACGACAGTGGAGAGGCCCCTTATCGCAGAGCCCGATAGCCAAGCAGCTTGTCTCCATAATACCCATTCCTGCAAGGTTTTTCCCCTTATGGTTTCTCTCGCCAACAGATAACAAATACCTACTTCATCCACCAATGCGACATATATCGAACGGCTACTAGAACGATGTGTACACCAGAGGACTGAGGTCCACTGGGTCGTTTTGTCACTGGACAGGAGGTTTTTCTGACGGAATCGTGCTTGGATATTGACTAAAACCATCTGGTCACTCCAGGTTGGTACCGCTACAGCGAGGATAGGCTCGTGCGCGGATCTGAATGTATCTAGACTGACACCTCTACAACCTTGCGATGCAATGGCCCTGGGAGGCGTGGTTTGCCCTATGGAGGGACTGCACCCACGATAAATACAATCAATCAATCAATCAATCAAGACATATTCAAGTCTCACATCACCAACTAGTACCATTGCCCTCTCTGCATGGTGGTTTATAATGATGTCTTGCGTCACTTAGAGCGGTCTTATGACCTCAACCCTTGCTATGATTGCGATTCGGCCCAGCCAAGCCTATATGAGCACATTCTGTCAGGACTACACCTATGGGTTACCTGCCCATTCTGCCGACTCAAGACCAATAAGGAGTATATTCAAACACATCTTTTGAACCAGTACTCTTGGCGTTCATGTGGCTCCTGCAGACCCGATGAGGATGAAGAGTTTCTTTGCCACATTGTAGACGAGCACCTTTCCGCACCTTTCCGCACCTTTCCGCACCTTGCCCTGTCTGTAACTGCGACACCGTGACGAGCCAGCTGCAGTGGCATCTCTTTAAGAAACACGAATTACAGGGATGCCCAGGTTTTCAATCCAGACCCGAGTTCGACTTGTAGCACGTTCGCCATCATCACCAGTGGGAGCAGTGCAAGCTCTGTGATGTACTGCTGCCGGCCGAGAGTCTGGCCGGCCACTTCTGCCTGCTGCATTCTTGGCTAAAGTACAACATCTGTAGAAACGCAGAGCCATCCGATAAAGACCTGAAGAACCATATACAAGATCACCCGCAATGCCCTGAATGCCTAGGACGGATTCTACACAGGTATTATCGCCCTTATTTCTCCCAATACGGGTAGAAGGAGTGCCCTTTTTGTGATATTTTGGCACTGATCTAAAATCTTTAAAGGCACTTATGAGAGGATCATAAAGAATCAGAGCAGTGTAGGGTCTGCGGCGAGCCTCAACCACAGAGTGCTCTTTCCTCTCACCTCCACGACCAGCACTCATGGAGCACTTGTCCGTTTTGCAGTCAGTATTATGCTGCCGATACATTGGACATCCACATATCTCAGGAACATGACCCTCAACAGTGCCCAGATTGCGAAGTCACTTAGCCCGCGATGAGCCTCGAACTGCATCAGATCGAGAGCCATTCCTACCAACGATGTCCCTTTTGTCCCAGTCTGTTCAGGGAGCTGTTTAATCATATCCACCATTCCTATCCTCGAAGGCAGAGCATACCGCCACAGCCACAACAAGACCGTTCGTCCGAACTGGCCGGTCCTCTGACGTCTCTCGCTACTCAGATACGCCAGGACAACACGGGGGGCAGCGACTTCAACACGGCTCTAAACCATAGCCAGGAGGCATTGGATGCCTTGAAACGTGATACTGGCTATCGTAGCCAAGTCAGGACCGGGCAGACAGCCCCACACGACCCAGAACCACGTGAAGAAGAGCGAAGATGTTACCGGAACCTCCGCTAGTTCCCTTACATAAGCATGGCATGCTATATATAGAGACTAGGACCCCCAGAGCCGGCAGGCTCTTCTATTCCCCCTTTTCCCTCTTCCATAGAACCAACATAAATTCGTTCACCCTACCTCTTAGGCTTCTTGTCAAAGGTCTGGACCGTTACACAAGAGCTGGTGCTGGGATGCACGAGCCTTAAGGGGCGACCATGTCAAGAAGAAAAGCAGACAGCCAGCCAGGCCCGAGTTCGGCAGGCCTGTCCGCCGGCAGAAAACGAAGCCCCGTCCCGCAGCACTGTCAACGGCCATCCAAGGCCATGAGAGCAGCACACCCAGCTGTGTAGTTATGTTATGCACAAATTCAGCAATTTCGTTCAGTGTGCTCTGGTCTTGCCTACGGTTTCACGCTTACAATTTACTTGACTAATTAGGAGGGCTTAATCCTAGCCAGCTGAGGTGCTGCTCACCTGCAAGGACGAAACTGGACAAGGTAGGTGCACCCCTAGGACGGCCATATGACAGATCAAACAGACAGGTTCGGAGAGGTACCCCAGCACCATGTCACGACATGCTGCGGGATCTATTGTAACAAGCAATCTAGACTATAGACTAAAGGGCTCTATAGGGTTTATGATCTGAGGTAAATTAACACAAAGGACAATAGAGGCTTCTGTCACTAAGAAGACACTCGGATATTGGGGCTTGGTCTGAATGAGGGTCCACTAAATAGTCGAGTCAGGAGATTCCTCTCACCTTAGGGTTGGCTAAGATGCTTAGATTGATCACTGAGGTAGAGACTGTCTATCTGTTCTAGCTAGGAAATGTCCATCCTTATATATTCAATATCTCTCTCACTGATGGGGTGGATATCCGGAATATGTGTGATCCAACGTACCCGCTTATGTAACACACTAATCACGTGACTTGTACAATTATGTGGTCCGTGTGTTTCCTCGGCTCCTTCTAGTTCCCGTCTGTCCTGTTGGGCCTGCCAGCGGGCCTCATCCCTTTGCACTTCCCGTTGGTTCGTAACAATTGTTCCCGACTATTATTAAGCTCCTTATACTTCAAGGACCCTATTGCTATTCCCACTTATCCATCGCTTTAAATGATTGATTTTTTTGGCATATATTTTCCTCTTGTTGGTACTGTTATCGTCCTTGTAATGGTTGTCTGTTTGCTGTTTAACTAACGACCCGGGCGATTGTCGCGACAGGGAAGTTTGCCTACCTAACGCGTCTCTTACGTCTCGAAACTGCCTGAAGTATCTGTCATACTTTTGCTTCGAGTCAGAATACTGGATTTCCGCCTCAACTCGTAGAACCTGCAGTGCGCGTATTGTGTTGTCCAGCTCCATCATCCGGCACCGATCCCGCTGCATTCGCTCCTTAGATTCGTGGATTTTCTGAGCCAGTGGCTGCAACGTATAATCGGCACAGCTGTAGCTCTTGCATCTCTTAAGCTGGGAGGTTGGTTCCCTTGCAACCTCCAAGTCGCTATGGCCAAAAGCGGCTGTTTCGTTTGCTTCGTTTAAGGAGCTTGTTCCTTCTGCTGGTCGTGAATCAGGCGCCGATATTTCTGCGGCTTGCTGAGAAAACAATTCTGTTACCGGGAGTTGCTGCAACTGAGTTTGCGAACCCGGTTCGAGCTGGGTCGAGAATTTGGGCGGAGCCTGCGTTTCTGTTCCGATACTTGGATTTGCGCCATTAGAAGGAGCCCTGGGACTATGGTAAGGAATACTGTGATGAGGGTTCTGAAGCCAATAGTTATTTTCGCCGCGAAAGAATCCTGTGTTCCGATCACCCTGGGGCTGGTTTTGATGTAGATGCGACGGCAAGTTCATTGCAGCAGAACGGCCTTCTATAAACCGTCAAGGAATCATTACTCTAGAATATTAGGGATAGGTAATGATAAAATAAGGTAGATATATCGATCTTATTCCTTTGTCCGCATACCTAGAAACAAAATAATGTAAGCCATTTACCGGCATGCCGTTTGCGGTCGTAGGAATGCGGTCGTAGGAATGCGGTCGTAGGAATGCAGTCGTAGGAATGCAGTCGTAGGAATACAGTGCTATTCGCAACCAATTTCGAGAAGAGCCATGTTTCATACAAAGTACAAACATGTAACTAGCTGTGATAGCTTATCTAGTTACTTAGAAGTATGTTGATATAATATCTTACGCGCGATAGCATCTATATCTTAGACCTCGCCTCTATTTCTATCATAAATAACAAGGGATATACATGTTGAAACCATATTTTATACCACCCGCTATATGCTTAAGAGGTATTTAAAACAAGTAGTATTAAGTAAGAAGGTGTATAGTTGGTAAAGCATTGTGGCTTGAAATAACAACAGCAGGCCAGGCTATATTTAGCGGTCTACTTAAGGAAGACATCTACCAGCAAGCTAATACATAATAACTCGGAAAAGGCTCGGCCATTGAAGATACGTAAAGAGGCAAGGTCGCGTGATCTATCGGATACTTTGCCGCTGCTAGGTACATGATACAAGATTACTAATCTTTTAGAGCTACTCCCTTAAACGAGATCATGCGCAGCTCGAATTAAAAGGGCTTCGATAAATCACCAAGGTAAAACCTTCCATGCTAAAAATCCCCCTTATATATTATATTTACTTTACTGATAACAGCAGGTCCCAGTTGCCCTGGTGATCCCCCTTCTAAATCGTATTGGTATTTCAAAGACTTATCCTTGTGTACCATCCATCATGACACGATATGTCCTAGCAGGTAGCAGTTACGCTCTTCCATTCCCCTTTTATCCTCTGGCGCCATTCTGACCGCCGTGCCTCTCTGAGATGCGCCTTCGTTTGGTTTTGCTTATTTCTTTTTTATATAGTTCCGTGGCATTGGGATAGAACTTTGTGCGACCATTCTTCGAAGTGTGCCGTTTGAGATGTTGATGATAGTTCTCCTTACGGTTGAAAGACTTATGGCAGAATGGACAGGACCATGTCATGGCTTGGGGGTGATGGTGTCTAATATCTCATGTTAGCCGCTATATATTGAATTCACCTCAAGTAATTCTTACGTTCGTATGTGTCTTGAAAGATGCTCCCGCCTCCGGTATGGGGGACGGTCGGTGCACTGAGGCCTGTCGCATCTAAAAGTGGCCACAGGGATTTCACTCATGTGTTCGACAGGAGTATATGGGATCCGTCCAGAGTATGCTATTGGCTCGCTGCCAGACAACGTAGAGGTGGCCAAAGGTATGTCGCGACTGTGCGGGGGCCATGGCAGGATGATCGGATCCAGGAGCGCGCCATGACGGAAAGGCCGAGGGCTAGGCATTTCAGGGGATTTGCCATAGGTAGTCGGGTTCACAGAAGTCGCTATTGTGTGAGCGAAGTCGATCGTAGTGGGCTGTATACTGCTTTCCCAACTTGAATATGCGCCATTATTCATATAGTTGGGATATACTGTGCTAACATCGAAAGCATGATTGAGCGTAAGTGCTGTCCATGTTGGCGGAGAAAGGTCCAATGTCTGTATAAATAGGTCGTAAGACGATTCAAAGGTAAAGTCATCGTCTAGGCTTGTTCTCGTGATGTCGTGATTAGATGCCATCGTCGTAAGTTAGAGCAGGCCTTAAGCAACGGTTCTCCATCAAAGGGTGTGATCTTATGGTAAAGGCTAGATATCTACTAGGATAAAACAGTAGATGGTAGAATTTGTGAGATAAAAAATAATAATAATGCGTTATTATATATTCACTGGATGAGATGATCTAGGATTTTCGCTATTCTTTGTCGAGAAAGTAGTCGGTTTCAAGTGGGAGAGCCAAGATATGACAGGTATCTTCGGGCGCCACTTGTGTCTCCTTACTATGAATTCAAGCGCGCCTTCGGCAAGAAGAATAATAAGCGCGCAAGGTTTGTCAATCCGATCTTAATGCTCCCTTGCTTTAATTAATTAGCATAACATTATCCGTCTCTCGGTATCTATGCTTTAATATTAAGAATGAAACATGTACCCAACAAAGCTCACCAAAGTGGCCTGTAACGTACATGCAATCTGTAATATTAGTACTGTCCTTTGCTCCTAAGATAAGTGATACTTGTCAAACAGTGCGTAAGGGATTTTAGATGGGTGAAAACGTATATTCTAGTGTAATCCGTATTGTTCTTGTGTCTGTGAAAATCCTGCTGTAGGCTAAGTGGCCTAAAAATGCCCTATTGGCCTTGTTGGTGCACTGCCACCTCCTGAACGCCGCGGTGGCTTGCGCGCCATTTAATAATACATTGTCACGAAGACGGTCTGCCACATCTGACACTAGTTTTAGCCACTAAGATTTCTTGAAACACGTGGAAATGTCAGGCCGGACGCAAGTAGTTGCTCAATAACCTGCGTCGCCAGGCGTAAGGAAAACATGACAGGATTGATTATTCGAATATGACAAGGAATATAGATCAAAGCAGTAGCGAAGAACAAGTAGCTTGCCAAAGTAATATATCACAGATTAACTAATTCCAAACCATTGCATTGTTTAAAAGCCAGATGTAATATTGTGCTTCTTCCTACCCCCCTAGCCTCCCTATTTTTAGTACAACAGATAATATCTAGCTTCAGTTTGCCTCTCGGTTTGGAGCCTTGAAACCTAAGTACCGGGATATGTTCACTATGGCATGGACCGAACTTCCCGGCTCGAAATGTTCGGAATGCTTATTAGGATTGCAAGCTCAACATTCCAGAATAGGTTTATTCTTGTCGCTAAAAATTCCATTCCGGTCCTCTCACATGTCAACTGCAGATGGTTTAGCCGTTACATTCCTTGTTTCACATTCCCCAACTAAAACATTAATATTACCAGGGGCCTGAAAATGGCTGGCACAAGCTTTGATACATTCCAACATGACATTAACACGTGGACGAAAGAAAGAGATAGAGGGATAACTAACCACCAAAGTAACCCTTGCTCCCATTATGGCTTCATGCACGGCGCCACCCATGGCCAAATTTTACAAGCAAGCAAGGTTGTTCATGTGATAGGTCCTTGTCACCTAAATTTAGATCTAAGATACCTAGTTGCCCAGCGTGTAGGAATATCTCCAGACGGGCAGAGACGCACAGGGCATCTGACCCACCTAGAAGACATACCTTTATTTCCTGCACGCTCGAGGAGAAAAGGCAGAAGAACAATATTGACCACCTGGATATTCTGATCTCGCTTGCATCTAGCATATCTAAGCATACAGAGTTGTCATATACAGAAGTTTGTCGACTCGGACTTCTTTGCGAAATCGCTGTACCGGTACTCATTGGGTGTATATGCACTGTCCCTGGAGATCTGGAGACTAGGGAGGAAAAGGAGAGAACGGGAAGCCATATACAGCTAGAGGCCCTTCCTCTTACAGTGTTCCCTCTACTTAGATCCTTCTCTTACTAGGATGTATCAGCTTATCATGTGCGACGGTCTGTGCAGGCTGTCTCAGGTTTAAAGCAAAGTGATTGATCATAGAGACAATAGCCCGAGGGAAAGTGACTGATCACAACGCTTCTTCCAAGGGAGACTTGTTAGAAGCGAATGAAACGTCAGCCGTTTCTTAATCTGCCACTTCCGCTCCTGCACCGCTAACGAAGTAAGAAAATGATTTGCGATTTCCACTTGTCTCAGCACTGACCCTTCTAGGCCTGTTCCTTAGCCTTGGATGATTGATAACAAGACCTCTATAAGAAGGCACGTCTACTGCCTGATATCTAGATCATGTAAAGTAGGTATGAACCAAGCATGGCTAATAATCAGGAGACTAAGAATCCCCTCTATTCTATCGGACAGTTCCAGAGATATCTAGGAAAAGAATCACTAGCTTGGCCACGTCAGCTACAAGATGCATTTTTCGATGGTAAGTTCCTCCGCTTCTATGTTACCTGCTAGTAGTTATTTGCAGCAACTAACTATCGTTAAAGCCCTCCTTTTGATCCAGCCAATGGGTAGAAAACGGATTGCTTCGAGCACCAACCCGTCTATTACGTACGGCCGCAATATGCTCATTGCGAAATACATCTTGCTACGTGGAATAAAGATTGACATCCCCTATAACAAAGAATGGATCTTGGATAGCAATGCAGGAGAAGATGGCCGTGAAAGACGATCGCCTCTAACACAAAATGGGCGAAAGCGAGTTTCGAGCCATATCCAGGTCTTAAAGCCTTACCTTGCCACCTTGGTCACTGGTAAGCATATCGTCCCTTATTCCATAGATATTAGACTGATCTTTTCTTAGGTCATTTTATCTTGCCTGTCAATCAAGCTATCCCAACCGATCAGGACACGAACGACTTAAAATCCAACAAGATCCTCACCGCTATTGCCGATGGCATCCTCCCTAACGAGCTTCCAAACTACGACTACTTCTCCATGCTATTAGGTGCAGACGAAGATGTGTTCCTCCGACCAAAGCAATGCTTGATTTTCGTCTCGCCACCTTGGATTAACGCTAAAAAGGAGCACGGCAACAACAATCCTGCAATAGTACTACACGACTACACGCGGGCACTTTCGCAAAAACCGTCGTCATCCATCGAAGAGATATCTCGCAAATGGGCCGTCAGCTTTCCAGAGCTAAGCAATCGACTCATGGGTGCCCTGAACGACATACGGTTAGCTGACGAGCGGACTTCACGCTATGTTGTGGGCCCTTGTGATACTTTCCATTTCGAAATCGCCCTAGATATGCATTCGGGCTCTATATTCCCGAACGGCTCCGAGCTCCGAGGCGTGATCGACCTCGCCATCTGTCAGCCCTCCCTTCATCATCATAGCTGGAAATCTGTGACGTCAATCGCAAAGCCAAAAGAGCTGCAAAGCTCTGGGCTTGAAATGGGCTTCTGGAACCATAATGAGCTGGTGGAGTCCTTTGCACCTGGAGACGCCGCCGGCTATGGCAACGAGCCGTATGGCTTTACCGTTGGCGGTCAACATCACATGATTCGTGTGCCATTCCCAGCAACCAATTGGGCAGAGACGTTCGGCAAACTAGCCCCGTGCAGCACTGAAGAACGCGAGAAGGAACATGGGCTCCCAGTCCACAAGTCACAGGGGGCAAGCCCGGGTACTTATCCTCCCATGCCACTGGTTGACAAGGCCCCAAGCGTCATGGAGCTTCTATCTAAGGTTGCCATGTACCAGGAAGTATGGTCTGCTCGGAACAACGGTGATGAAATAGCCGAAGGGACCTGGACACGGCGGGCCGTGATCTTGTGGAGTTTTGTCCCTACCCACGAGCATCGGTCTGGGAAAGGCAAGGCCAAAACCGTGGTGCCGGGCACCAAATGGCAGTTCCTCACCAGATTAGATCCATCGTCACAATACCATCAGCGGCATGCTTATCTCTCTCGCTCGTCAACCATGTCGGCAGACAGTTCTGCCTTACCGGATCAATACATGCCTCGGTTTCACGAGAGTCAATATACCATGACCACGACCTGTGCCGCCACACAGAAGCAGGAAGGCCAACCTATCCTCGATAAATTCGCCAACTTGGATACCCCAGCGCCGCGCGCCTACGCCAATGACAACAGCCACACAGCGAGCTTTGATAATGTCGATTTTACTACCGTGACCGGTAGCAATGAGCTCCTATACGGCCTACCAAGCCTCACGCCCTACAACACGCGCGACCATGTAGGCATGCACGGTATGGCAAGTGGTGGTAGCAGCCTTACCACTACCTTTCCAGATTGGTACATTCCAAACATCAGCCCTGATATGCCGTGGACCAATGTTTCCAGCCCGACCTGGAATCTAGATGCCCCGTGGTGTGCTGGATACGCCAACAACGAGGCGAGCCTGAGCATGGCTGATAGCGCAGGCATGGCTGACCACAGGGCGAGGCTCCCGCCATTGTACATACAGGCGCCAAGCCAGGGATACAAGAGGACATACGAAGAAGAGGACGGAGATACTGAGGTACGACACAGTATGGACCGTAGCAACAAGAACCCACGGCTAGGGCAGCCTCTCCTTTAGTACATAACTACAGCTTGAAACTCTGGTTCATTCCTTACTGGCTCTCTCGTGTGGGAAGTGGCAGGCGATCCCGGTGAGAGAATTGATAGATCATCTGGCTCGTGCATACGGTTGGCAACCGCGAACCCTTGAAACCAGCAGAATCACACCAGCTACACCGGTGTATGGAAATGAGAAGCGTCGTTATATGTGGCAAGCATGATGCCGTGACTGAAAGGCCTGCCGTGCAGCCTACCCTCTCACTCATCTATCCATCCACGGCTGCAGCATCACTTACCCAAGCCTGGCGTCACTGCCTTCATAGGCCATGATGCCGGCCATGGCTTCCACCGGTAGACTAACCCCACCGACGCCACCCACCCCACCCATTCCCATCATCCCCACCATCCCCATCATCCCCATCATCCCCACCATCCCCATCATCCCCATCATTCCCACCATCCCCATCATCCCCATCATCCCCATCATCCCCATCATGCTGGAGTATAGTCCGTTTGATGCACTTAGGATTACTCCCGGTGTTTATGACGCCAGAGCTTTAAGCAACGTATTTTGAAAGGCAGCGACACATTGTCACCTAGCCAAACGATGCAACAAGGTGGACCACAAGAGATGGCCTACTATTGAGCATTTAAAAGCATCCCGCGACTTCATCTCGACCATAGACAGAGAGGATATCACAAAACGATATCAGTATTTCCCGCGCACCTTTTTCCCTACGCATGATCAACCCGGAGATCTGAGCGCATACAAAGAGTGTCATTCCGATGGCTTCGTTGCTTGCCCAAGAACGTCATCACGAAGGCGATCAGTCCCGGGACTGTACGAGACCAAGACCGACCAAAGCATGACATCTACTAACGTGTCTGAACAGAAGCCTGGTAAGGATTTCGAGGGCGCTCTTCGTTCTCATAGGCTACTATTCCGCTCCCCTCCGTGGCGTATTTAATGGGGATAAGGGTTAGAATTAAGAGGGCAAACACGGATGATGGCAGACGATCCGTGGCTGATGCGCGGCTGATGCAGCATTTTGTTAGATTTGAGCCAATCGTGAGGTTGAGGTGTATGTGTGTATTCTGTGTCCTTGAAGTGTCCCTGTGCGACCGTGGCAGCTTTTTGCCAGAGGGGGCTGGATCGGGACGGAACAACTAGGTTCCGTTGTCTAACTGTCAAGGTGCCCTCTAGGCGTACCTTTAATCCAACGCATCTGTAGACAGCAGTTAAAGGTACAAATTGTTGGATGCATGCGGTTCCAACCTTCAAACCATCCATACCGGGACCCATATATATGATTAGATAAGAGATTAAATATCGGATTGTGAGGTCGCTCAGCCAGACCTTCGAGTCCAGCTGGACTTCCCAATCCATCTATCTCCAACATCACGACCTTGACCCAATATTCGAGTATTATGATTGATTGATCACGCCTGTTCCTACACTGATCAATGTTTGTTTGTTTTGTTTGTTTGTTTTGTATTTAACGTGGGGGTAGCTCCTCAGTAGTGCAAACCACGCCTCCCAGAGCCTCTGCATCGCAGGGTTGTGGAGGTCTCAAGATAATAAGTACAGTCAGTCCCGCTCACGGGCCCATCCCCGTTGTTGCGGCGGTATGACCTTGGGGTCATCCATCTGGTCCTTCAAGGAAGGCTATCTATCGGGGGCAGATTGTTGAAAAGAACTTGCTCTTCTCCACGAATTTTGCCCATTCTGTGCTCCTCTCCCCTAAGTATTGTAAACAAGCTGCCCTAGGCGAATGCCTAGGCAGTAGCCGATTTTTCCCCAGCCTCTTACAAAAGAAAATGTGTTGTGGTGTTTTCTTCTCACCACAGCTGCAGTGATCATTTGAATCTGTGTGCCCAAAGCGTTCATGGTATCTGGCAAAGTCGCCATGTCCAGATCTGGCCGCTAGAAGTCTGTGTAAAGTACTCCTCTTAAAAGATATAAGGTCTCCTTCAGTTACTGCATGTGAGTATACTTCTTGATACCTAGATTCTGATTGGTCTTTCCACCATTGGTTGAACTCTTTCTTGCCCTGTCTTTTGAGATCTCTCTTGACCCAAGAGATTGTAGGAAGATTTGTTGTGTCTGTTTCCAGCATGGCACCCTCTTTTGCTAGTGTGTCGGCAGCTTCGTTGCCATCAATATCTCTGTGTCCAGGAATCCATTTGACGGTCACTCCAGGAGTGTGTGCTGTGGCAAGTTCTTGAAATCGTAGAAAAATGTTTTGTGATGTCTCGGGTGGAGTCCCATTGAGCCCATCTACCACTGACGTGTTGTCCAGGCAGACATATAGCTGTTTTCCGTGTCCAATTGCCCTGGCTGCTGCAAGACCTTGGAGAGCACCATGGACTTCAGCATCTACTACTTCTGCTTGTAGAAGTCTGCCCCTTCCCCGGTATACTTCTTGTGTAGTGCCGCCTTTCCTGATGGTATAACCCCATCCAGTGCGGATTGTGCCTTGGTCATCCAACTGTGATCCATCTGAGTAGATGACAAGGTCAGTGTTCACGTTTCTCTCTTGTAACCATTGCTTGAAGAGCTCTGTTTCTTTGTCTTTGTCTTTGCGGATTGGGCGCTTCCTCCATGATGGCCTGGTAAGTATTGGTCTCTGGAAGTCAGGGACTAGCTGGAAGCTTCTTTGTAGCCTTGTTGGATCCTTGCGAGCTTGTATTTGGAGCCTGCCAACCAGAGGGTGTCTCTGATCTATTCGTCCTAGTCGGAGGCCGTGACGTCGTCTTATTGACTCTGCAAGAACTCCTGCTGGGGGAATCTGCGATTCAAAGTGTAAGATATGTCCAGGGTGTGTTTTCCAGACTGGCAAGATAGCCCTGATCGCCGTTCGTAGTACGGCATCTATTGTTCCAAGAAGCCCCTTAATGCGACATGCTGATGTCTCACCTAAGCTCCCAGTTTTCTCGATTCCTGGGTACCAGGCCTCCAGGCCATGTGTGAGAATAGGAATAACACAAGCTTTCACAGCCCTCTTGGTTGACTTTACTGGAAGTCCTTTGACTGTGTTGCATAGTCCTCGAAGGTGATTTGCTACCCTACTAGCTTTCTTGGCCCAGTGAGAAACATGGTCTTTGAAGTTTAGTTTCCTATCCAGAAGGACACCTAGCCATCGCATGGAATGCTTAGCTGTTTTGTTCATTGTTCCGTGGCAAACTGGGGGATTGTCTGAGTTCTTTTTCCGTGAGAAGTGCATGATCTCGGTTTTGTCGGGATCAAATTCAATAGCATTGTTATGTCCCCATTGGTTGAGCAAATGAAGGTTTTCAGAAGCCTCTGCAGCTGTTTCTTTAAGGTTCTTTCCAATGCAGAGTGTTGCTAGATCATCTGCATATCCAAAGCGTCTTCTTTTCATGCCAAGTCGGGCACAGATTGGCTCTGTATACAGCATGTAGAGGATTGGAGAGACTGGTGAGCCTTGTGGGAGCCCACAAGTGAGAGCTTTTATATCGGTCACAGTACCTTCAAACCGAACTCTTGCGGACCGCTCGGACATGAACGACTGGACCCATCTTATGAGAAAGCCTGGCCAGCCCTGTTCTCTCATGCGAACCACCAGCCGTCCCATTAGGGCAGCATCAAAGGCCCCTTTCACATCTGATGTGACTACCGTTGCAACGAGGCCTTGGTCAAGGGCCTGCTCAATATCGTGTATGAGTGCAGCTACCAGGTCAGTGGCAGAGCGCTTTGGTAGAGCTCCAAAATGTTGTGGGGCTAGAATTCCAAGTTTGACAACAAACCAGGTAATTCTTTTCGCAATGAGTCGTTCTAGGCCCTTGCCAAGACATGACAGTAGCGATATTGGTCTGTAGGCCCTGGGATTGGAGTAGTCTTTCTTTCCTGGTTTTGGGATCATCACCACCTCAGCTACTTTGAATGGTTTAGGGTGGTGTCCAATCAGTAGGCAGGTCTGGAAAAGGGCTCTGATATGTTCACCAATGACTGGCCAGCAAGCTTTCAGAATCCGTACTGTGAGGGTATCTACTCCCGGGGAGTTGCTCTTGGTTCCTAAAGTGCACCCTTCAGCCTCTTCCAGTCCGACGTGGTATTCAAGGGGGATGTGTGGCTTGGGTTGTATGATCTGAGCGGACCAGGGGTCGATGATATCGTTGTCTGAGGTACTTCGTTCAAGCGTGGCTGAGCGTAATGCATTTGCCTTGCTCTCTTGTGACTCGAATATTTGGTCTCCTATGATGATTGGAGGGGAACGCATTCCTGCTGATAACTTGTGCCAAGAGACGATTCTGTATAGGTCCTTTGGCTCAGTTGCTGAATTGATTAGAGTCTGCCAGTACTCTCTCCTAGCTTTCCGAACCACGCCGCGAAATTCCCGTCGGGCTGAATTCCGTCCTTCTTGGCTTGTAGTCTGTTTGGAAAGGGCCCTGTATGTCTGAACAGCTGCTTTGCAGTCATCATTCCACCAAGCAGTGGGCCTAGATTGACGGGGCCTCTTGCCCACTGTCCTGATACAGCCTTGGATCATGTTGATCAGGCTTTGTGTAAAGGTGTCCACCTGGCCAGGGGATACACCCAGCCGGGGGAGTTCATGAATCCTGGTTTGGACATTATCTGCCAGCTCCTGTAGTTTATCGTCCGGTACTATCCAATGATTGGCCTTGGGTACTCGGTCCAGATCTCCCTGAATTGGAATGACTATTCGTAATGTCTCATGATCTGAGGTGCACTGAAGTGCATCATTGACTGAGGCTTCAGCCATGGGGACATCAGAGAACACCAGATCTAGTACATTTCCGTCATCATGTGTCGGGACATCTGGTTCAGAAATCAGATCCAGTCCGTGGTCTGCCATAGTTTGTGCAAGTATAGTACCACCATGATATCCTGGATTGCTTGAGTCCCAGGATGTGTCGCCAGCATTGAAATCTCCAGTTATAACGCAGCCAAAAGGTGGAGTCCATACTTCCAGAATGTCATCCACTTCCTGTGGGTTGTCACATGGCCGGTAGACACTGGCAAATGTAATGCCTTGT